TGGTATAAGACCATGACACCTGAAAGAACATATTTACATAACATGCAGGTACGGCGTGACGCAGGTGCTCATGATGCAGGTAGGCAGCAGATTGTCCATTTTGGAATGTTAGTTTATTTAAGCTTATTCACTTAAATAAGGGTAAAAAGCTTGCCTTTTTCCAAAGGGTAGAATCACCTATTTATTTATTTTTGATTAAAGATTTTTAAAAAATTGTCATTTGACAAATAACACAGTTTAACAGGTACTTGGAGGTTCTTATTTCTGCTTGAATGTACTTACATCTGATTATTGTTTATTAACTTCTCATTTAAATATCACAGAATCAAGGTTAACATGGGAATAACATTTTCCAATCCTCAGTGTCAACGTTCAAATAGTCTTCCGTATGATGCAGTTAGTATGTAGGTCTATTTACAAAGAGTAGTTATGTAGCATGTGAAAAGGATGACAACATGTCAGTTTAGTCAGTTAAATTCTCTATATTTACCAGGCAGTGAGCTTTGCATTGAGCTTAAGTAGACTGTGATACAAATGCACTTGTATATTTTTTGCAGCATGTATACAGTAATGGACTGGTATGAGAACACTGGAAATGTAAAAGATGGTGTGAAATTTGTAAAATTTCTCCTGTGTGATTTATTTCAGTGCTGCTGCACTTTGATCATGAGTCAACATTGCAGTGTTTGCTTTTGCTTTAACACAAAATAGAAGTTGAACTCAATGCACAGATTCCCACTGATTATTCTCTAAATCAGAGACATCTGTTGTGTTGTAATAGAAATTGTTGTGCATTGTGTTTGTGATGAAATGGATAAAATGATGTTAATGCAAGTGCAACTCTGCTTAATTTTCTTTTTTATAAGGGTTGGCTTTTCCCCTCAGTTCAATGAGATGTCTTTAAGCAGAGTCATGCTGGGAGGCTTAGGTGAAGGGCCAATCATGTGGTCTCCTGACATGACAGCCTTATAGTGGATTTAAAGTGTCCAGTAGTGTTTGAGCCATCTATCTAGCATCTCATTTTTCAATCCATAAATGTCTTAGATTGCACTTGAGAGGTACCAAAAACGTGTATTTTAAAGCAGTTTTCTGTGTAAAGAAGAAGCCAATTCACCCAGGATTAAACATTGACTCACATATTTGCTTTTGGAAAGTTGTTGACTCTTTTCTGACATGGCCACAATCTGAATGCACAACGTGACTAACAATAGGACTACAAATTAATTCTGTGGTTGTTGGTTTTCACTACAATGTTAAGATTGTAGTTAAAAAAGTACAAAATACACCAGGTCAGGGTCCAAGGCTTTTAGTCAAACTCATATAAAAAAAACTTTGCTTTTAGGGTCTTACCCTGTAAATGATTTCTGTTAGCTTACTGGGGTCAGACAGGGGCTTTTCATAGGATTAAACAGTGGCTGGCTTTAGGAACTGTAAAGCTAAGTAAAAATTCATGTTGTTTCTCAGCTGAGGACTTAAAAGACTAGCAGAAACAGGGTTGTCATACTTACAATTGTATTTGAGGTCTTGTGAAGTCTTTGTTCTTGAGCCACTAATACAGTCACAACAGCAACATGAATATGCAACATGAAGCACCAAGGAATTCAACATAAATGTGGCATGTCAACAAACCAAATGCAAAATGCAGCTTAATATAATGTAGTTAATACTTATTAAATACTTGATGAGTTCACTTTATCTGAGAAAATCTATATCCCGAGAAAGAACAACAAGACAAGTTCCAACAAGAATCTCATGACAGTTGGAAAGCAGTTGGTATTTCCCCACATTCTGCAATGTATAAGCTGTGTACTGAACAATGCCCAGCAATGTGGCTTAATGTGTGTCCCCAGTGATCTAATGGACAAAGTAAGCCAGGGATTGTGGGTTTGTGGTTATTTGCAGTAGCATTAAAAGTAGAAGTGGTCCATGGATAGTATATATATATATATATATATATATATACATAACTGATATGTGCAAAGCACTTTTTAGGGGCTTTTAAATGTGTGGTGACGCTTATATGTAGAGCTTTGTGTCATCTGAATAATTTAGGTCAGAGTTGCTGTGATGTTCCAGTTCTGATGCTCACAGACGTCAAATAGCAGAAGCCTGATAGAATTACCTTATACTACGGTTTCTGGATCTTATCCTTCTGTCTTACTACATATCTTAATAATAGCATTCTGTAAAGACGGCCTTTATTCTTAAAATATGACCTAAGATATTGTAATTTTAAGATAAATTGTAATAATTATTGTCCCTACATTTCCAAAAATAAAAAAAATGCTGAATTGATATGCTCTTCTGTTGTCCTTCCAGGAGAATGACCATGACATTGAGAAACAAGGCTTTGAAAACCTGGCCTACGAGTATGGGAGCCAGACTGAGCTCTGTCCTCCACCTAAAGCTGCCTCAAGAGCAGCTTTTAAACTTCAGCGGATCACCTCTGAGCATGAGGTCCACATCATCCAAACCAGAATCTGCAGCCTGAATGGAATAATTGCTGTCACATGGTCTGTACCCAACAGTTTGGCCAAGGTGGACTACGATGCTTCAGTTATTCCAACCAAAGAGATCGCCCTGGAACTACAGACCTTGGGATACAGCGTGGAGTCTGTGGTGCAGATCAGGGTGGATGGTATGCACTGCCAGTCCTGTGTGCGGTCCATTCAGGGACAGATCGGGGAGCTGCAGGGGGTTTCACATATTCAGGTGTCTCTTCAGGACAAAGCAGCGCTGATTGTTTTTCAGCCTCTTCTAGTCACACATGAAGAGCTGAGAGACAAAATTGAGGACATGGGCTTTGATACTGCTTTGTTATCAGAGGACCCATCAGTAGAAGATTTAAGTTTCTGGCAGAAAAAGGAGGTGGATGCCTCCACCCAGACTGTAACCATTTTGATTGGAGGGATGACTTGCAGCTCTTGTGTGCAGACAATAGAAGGGAGGATCTCTCAGATGACTGGAGTGCAGTTCATAGCGGTGTCCCTGGAGGCGGAAAAGGGAACAATAACCTTTGATCCCTATTTGACAGAGCCAGAGCAGCTCAGGGCAGCTATTGAGGACATGGGCTTTGACGCCTCACTTAAAGGTAGGTAACAAAAATAAATGTTTGCTTAATGAAGCTTTTAAAAATACATATTATTTTAGGATTATTTCAGTTTTCTTTTTCAGTGTGTCAAATCTTAATAAATAGTGAGGGTGACAACTGACTGAACATCCAGGGAACAGTTAGCATTTGTTTTTGCCATCCTGTTTTTCTTTAACATCTTACTTGAGCTCCGCAGCACTTGGTCCAGATCACAACCTAAAGATCCCAGAACTTCTCCAACATAAAGGGACACAAACACTCAGGAACTAGATACCTTACCCATTAGTTCACATGGTAGCAGGTGTTAGCTTGACTCCAGCTGATCAGGCTTGGACAAGAAGTTGTGCATTTTAATTTATTTTGGGTAGAATTTGGCACAGGTTGGTGCATTTTTTCCCTATCCCTATCTTTCCATTTTTGAGTTTGTACATCATTTCCCCAAATCCTCTCATCTGGTCTCAGTGCCTCTTACCAAAGATGCAAGAACAGTAGCACAGCTGGATCATCTGACCAATTTTTAATTTGTTATGGCCCACTGCTGTATTGACTGATCTAAGGTGTCAGGGCAAGACAGAAACAAGAGGTAAAAAGTAAAAAAGTAAAGTCTACATTTTATGCAATATAATAATAATAATAATAATAATAATAATAATAATAATAATAATAATAATAATAATAATAATAATAATAATAATACTTATTAAAGGCATACACAGACCAATGGGATGATCATGAAAAACAACTCTCATGCCTCAGTGGCACCTCATCTCTTCATCTGCTATTTCTGTCAGGCAAGGAGTGAGTTGGGAACTCAAGTATCTTTGAACTAGTTTTTACACCCGAGGTATAAAAGCACTCATTGTTTGATGTCCTTGGAGGGGTTTGCTTTCATTTAGGAAATGTCTGCCATTAACCGTAAAATCGTGTACATGCTATCTAAAGGGTTTCTTAGAAGAGGTATGTTGTTTAGAGTAAACCAGAAACTCAACGGTTACTCTGGGAACCAGACAACTGTACTCCTCAGTGAAACTAAGAGAGCCCTTATCCTTACCAGGGCTTTAATTGCAGAAACAGCCTGCCAAGATGAGGGATTAATGCAGGCAGATTATGAACAAATTCTTTAATTTCTCTTTATCTTGCTCAGCTCTCAGTGTCAGGTTTTATTGGCCTCTATTGGCCTCTTATTGGGATAGAAGTTATATATCATGTGGTTGTATATCATATGCCAGTGAGCTGTAAAAAAGTCTATCCAAATTTCTCAAACTAAGCAAATGCTTGGTTATTTTCTCTTCTGCATTATCTGTTTAGCAGAAGGTGTGGGAGAAGATTGTGGACTTGAAGTAAAAAAATAAATAAATCCAGCTTGCTTTAGAAATGCCATTCATGCTCGTTTCCAATTCTGTGCTTTGAAGCTATATGAGAATTAAACAATCAAAAATCATTCCTGTTTACTTTGTGCACCTTATATTTCCAGTACAACAGGGAATCATGCCACCTGCAGATGTTCTCTGACGACCGAGTTGTTAGTTCCTACCATGTTATCCAATCCATTAATCCATTTGTTTCACTGTGAAGGCATACAATGTTTTAAAGAGTTCAAGCAAACAAGTAACTCATGTTCCTATTGCTTTAAAGTTTGGAGATGACCCATGGAAAATAAGGCTTTTTCCTAATTTGTGTGAACCTGACCGTTGACCTTGAAGCATTACATACTAAAGTTTTATATCTTTACCCTTGTCTTCTATAAGCTGTGAAAGTTTGACATTTTAAGATATATTCATGCATGTGTGATTTTGCAAAACTTTATGGCGTCACTGTGATGCCTCTCCAGGCCTTTTCACAGGATATATTACTTGATATTATTCCTTGAAGTGTTTTTTCCAAGGTCAACTTTGACCTTAAACAATAAATGTCAATGTTAAATACTTAGCCAACCTAGGTACTCATGTCCCACAGGGCCTAGTATATTGCTGTGAAATCTGAAAAATTATGGGTGATATAAAGATTTTACTAACTTTCACATCTGGTATGATCTTGACTTTGACCGATTTTCTTGAAAATTAAATCACCTTGAGCTGTTATTGGTATCTATTGGTTATTGCTATCTACCATCACACAAAATTCGAAAACTCTGGTTGCCACACTGCTAACAAACAGACAAAAAAATAAATGAAAGAGATTATATCCTCCCTCCCTTCAGGAAGAGAATAGGATGAGTTTTTAAAATTTCTAGTTGGACTATGGTGATTGAAGATTCTAAGTTGAGCCTCATAAATCTGTAGAGCTACAAACTTATATGGCGCCTCCATATTTTTTTGTCCTTTCAGAACCTATAACGAGTGTTCAGAGTCATGAAAAGTCCCAGCCTGTAAGCTTTGGACTTTCTGACATGTCGACAAACAGGCCTGTAGTCAGCAATGGGACGGGTTCACAGGCACCATCTGCAAGTTCGCCTGAGATAAAGGCACAGAAATGCTTCATCTGCGTTACGGGGATGACCTGTGCCTCCTGTGTGTCCAACATCGAGAGGAACCTGCTCAAACACAGAGGTGAGCGACTTCCAGGGATGAGGCATTTGAACTGAGATGAAGATTGTTGATAAAGTGTACTGTGTTTGTTAACCAGGAATCCTCTCAGTGTTGGTGTCGCTAATGGCCGGTAAGGCGGAGGTGAAGTATGATTCACATGTCCTGGATGCTACTGCAGTGACTGAGCTCATCAAAGACTTGGGCTTTGGTGCCAAAGTGATTGAGGATAATGCAGTAGCACATGGAAAGCTGGACCTCACTGTAAGTCTGCGGGACACCATATAATGCAGAATTTTGTGCAAATTCCACATCACATGTATTTCACATGCAGATAACAGGCATGACGTGCGCATCATGTGTCCACAACATCGAGTCCAAGCTCAACTTAACCAGAGGGATCCTCATGGCTTCGGTCGCACTGGCAACCAACAAAGCTCAGGTTGAGTTTGACCCAGAGGTGCTCGGACCTCGGGATATTATCAAGCTCATCCAGGTGTTTATCACAGGACTTTTAAAAGCTATCTTAAACCTACAATTTTTTACACATGCAATTTCACACCTTGGAGTTTCTCCTCATTTCAGGGTCTTGGATTTGAGGCCAGGCTGGAGCAGGCGGGCTTCAAAAACAACCTCGATCACAAAGAAGAAATTCGACAGCAAGTATCTGGTTTACAGTTCTTATTTTTAAATGGATGCTAACTTTTTAACAATTAACAATTTTCTAACAATTAAACCCTGAGAGGTGGAGAGTTATAACCAGCACATGGTGGTTTTGATCCATATATTGATACCCCAGGTCATGCTTAAACCCACAATCCCTCAATACACTTTCTTTCACTACTGGAAAAGGCTTTTTAGATTTAGGTCAGAGTTAACATTTCTATTAATTAGTACTTGTACCAACTTTCACTTTTCCTTAAATGTCATACAGATGGACTGTTTCTGCTCTTAGCTATATATGAGAGGTGCAAGACCAGAGGTGGTAAAACTAGATTTTCTTAGTGTACAGGCTGCGTTCAGCTGACTTGCTGCTTTTTGTGAATTTAGATCACTGAATTCAACAAGATGTCAGCAGATTTTTCACAGCTATCATGACTGATTTTCCATCCCCTACACTGTCACTATACTAGACAGTAGGGGTGGGTTTTTATAATCGATTTATTGATTAAAATCGATTCTGGCTTAGATAACGTAAAATCGATTCATTAAAATCCTGAATCGATTTTTTAATATAAATTTATTTTGCCCGAAATGCCAGAATCTCAGGTGAAATCTCACACAATTTCAACCACCACCAAACAGCTAAGACAGTAAATGAGAGCAGGAACACGGATTCTGCACAAAGACTTAAACACACAGCGCGACCCGCAGATCAGAATCAGTTAGATGTCGCCTTTCTCACGGTCGGGGCTGAAAGCCGACAGCTCGCTGATTCTGATCTGTCGGTGGGTCCGCGCTTTGTGTTCACGCCCTTTATGCGCTGATTCTAAAGCTGTTAGTTTGATGTCTCTCCAAACAATATTAACCGAACCAGCAGCAAAAGAAGATCCAAACTATGCTTCACATAAACATCGTCATGTATTCACTCTTACTTTTACTGTTTTGCCTTGACCACGATGCACAGCTCTCTCTCTCTCTCTCTCTGTACTTCAAGAACAGTAAAAATCTGTTTTCTTCATTATTCGCTTGCTTGTTACGCACAAGTCTACCGTTGTTTACAGCGCTGTCGGCCGACGTTTTTTTTTCCCCGTTTTATATACTTCCGAAAAGAAAACCTAATTTCTGCCGTTCAATACTGAACAAATTAAAACTTTTTAAAATTATGCAAAATGCAAAATGCGTGTCTCTAATAAAACCGCTGTAACTTCAGATTACAATCATGTGTTGATTAATGGTTTTCTTTCGCTTTTGATGTACTGCAGAATATTTTTATAAAATCCCAGGCCAGGAAAATCACCTTCATGTTTTTCTGTGTTTTATCTTCAGCTACTTTGACACAAAGGCATCTGCTGTGATGCTCACACCTTTGATAAAGTCTTGCGTGTGTCAGCTTCCTTTTTATAGATACAAAAATATGTAAATGTACTGATCTGAATTATAATATTTCTGACTGTCAAAATTTCCCAGATTCAAATTGAATTGAATCGAATCGAATTAAATCGAATCGTGGATCGAATCGATTTGGGACCTTGTGAATTGGAATTGAATCGATTCTAGAAATCAGTGACGATACCCAGCCCTACTAGACTGTATACAGTTGTCAGGCAATTGGAAATTACCGGCCCTTCTCCGGTTGGCCACCAGGGGAACATGTGCAGCTAAAAAAGGTGTCAGATTATTAGCTTACCGCTAAATTTTTCCATAAAAATGACTAGCAGTACAAGAAATCAGTGCAAAGGATGAATGTTTTTTTCACAATAGACATGTCTGCCTGTTTTTTGCAGGTGGAAGAACACATTTCTGTTGAGCCTGGTCTTTGGCTTGCCTGTGATGGGTCTCATGATCTACATGATGGTGATGGACAACCTACACCAAGAACACGGGGGCTCCATGCCCACCGAGCAGAATGTACTTCCGGGCCTCTCCATCCTTAACCTGCTTTTCTTTGTGCTCTGCACACCTGTCCAGGTGAGGAAGCACAATCTGAGCTAAACCTTTAATCACACATGAGTGCGTTTTCTTTGCTAAGGATGGTAAAAGTGTATGACTCACGGTGGAGCATGAACCCTTCCCCTCAATAGATCTTTGTGTCTTCCTTGATGCAGATCTTTGGAGGTCGATACTTTTACATTCAGGCCTACCGCTCTCTAAAACATCGCACTGCCAACATGGATGTGCTAATTGTGTTAGCCACCTCCATTGCCTACATCTATTCCTGCGTGGTCCTCATCGTGGCCATGGCGGAGCAGGCAAGCCAGAGCCCTGTGACCTTTTTCGACACTCCACCCATGCTCTTTGTGTTCATCGCTTTGGGACGATGGCTGGAACACATCGCAAAGGTAAAATAAAAATAAAAACAGGTTTATGAGGCCTAATTCTAGGAAACTATAAACTGTCAAATCACTGCTGATTCTTGGAATCAGCTCACTGCAGTTGCTTATATATGACCTAATTCAAACTTGCACTGTTTGCATTAGGCAGCATGTTTGTTTTTTCTCCAGGCTTTTATTGCCATATTTTAATGACTCTTCAGAGGGCTGATGTTTTTATTGTGCTAGACAATGATTAACTGAACATCAGCTGATGCTACATCACAATCACAGGACTGCATTCAATTTGATGATGAAGTATTTTACTTGTAAATTTTCTATTCTTTCCTGTGAATTTTTCGTTTTTTCTTCGAAATTTGCAATTTCTAGTAAATTTGCCATGTTTTTGTTATAAATCTTTTTTTCTTGCTATTTTGATGCTCTTTTCAAAAGAAGTTTTGAAAATTTTGCCAAATGTATCATTCTCCTAATTAGTTTTTCTTTGCAATGTTAATATTTTTTTCTAGTAATTTTGACAGATTTTTGTTGCAACCATTGCATTACGTAAGTTTCAGACATCTAAAAGTCCCAGCACAGAATTGTCCTTTAAATGTTAACAGTTTATTTCTTATACAATTTTGTCCTTATAAACTTGACAGTATTTTCTCGCAAATTTGCTATTTTTATGGGAAATTTGCTGATTGTTAACTTTAACTTTCACTCTTGCCAGTGTTTTACTTTTAAATGTATTTATTTATTTATTTTTGTAAAGCTTTGGCAAATTTTACAGGTGTTTTACTAATAGATTTTCTTTTTTTTCCCGAAAGTCGGCCAGTGAAAATTGACAATTGTTTCGATTGTTTTTTCCCTCAGATTTTAAAAGGTTTCCCCTTCTATAAATTTGACATCTTTATCATAAAGTTTGATATTTATTTATATTTTGAAAAAAAAAAATAGTCATTCATTTAAATTTTGTTCTTACAAATGTGACAGATCATAAATTGACAAATAAATCTTCATGTTTTTCTGCTAAATTTCCCATTTTTCCCCACATTTTTGCCAGGTTTTCTCTTGTGCTGTTTTTTCCTCATGAACTTACATCTGCATATGTGAAATTATTACTAACTGATTCATCATAAGCTTCTGTACTCTGGCTTGGACAAAAACACAAAGAAACTAAAACATTGTTATATGAACCGTCTCAGAAATGAAATGCTGTAGATTAATTTACTGTCTTTGTAGTGGGACACTAGCAGCAGGTGTTTTAACACCAGTGAGAGAAGGCCCATTCATTATACGCATATTTACCAGCAGGAGAGCATGAACTTTCTTCTGTCACCATCTCAGCGGCACACTTGTGAAAATCTGGGAACACAGATTTTCTTGCAAAACTACTTTATGCAGATATAACCTAGATACATACAAATTCTCACATTTCCGCGGTAACTATACAACCATGTGACTGTAGCAATTCAAAACGCTCATACTTAGTAGACAGGAGAGTGTATGAGGTCATACCATTAGTGCAGTACATCTTTGTTTTAAGACTGTAACGATACATTCTCTGCTGTTTCTACTGTCTTAGAGTAAAACCTCAGAGGCTTTGGCCAAATTAATGTCACTTCAAGCCACCGATGCCACTGTGGTCACGTTGGGATCTGACAAATCCATCATCAGGTGAGACATGTAAGATAAATAAATAAAACCATCACCTCTGTGGTACATGACGTGTGTGTCTGTAAAAATATTTTTATGCCTCAGTGAGGAGCAGGTGCTGGTGGAGCTCGTTCAGAGGGGCGATATTGTGAAGGTTGTTCCTGGAGGGAAGTTCCCAGTCGATGGGAAAGTGATTGAAGGGAACTCCATGGCAGATGAGTCCTTGATTACAGGTAGGAGGGAGTGAATGATGCGAATCCTTGGCTTTGAATGTGGATTTCAGGCATCTTAAGCCAAATTTAGAATTAATTTCTGTGAGTTTTCCGTCACTGTGTGGGAGAACAAGTGGCATGCATTGCAGATCTTTAGTCCCAGAGGTTACATTTGTGTAATTAAGTTATAAAGTCTTATAAATGTAATCGGAGATGTCTGGTTTGTGTAGGTAAATTTTTTTTTGCATGCAGGTTTGAAAAAAACATTCATTTCAATAAAAAGAATCATCTGGCATTTTTTAGATTCAACCTATTGAAAATCAAAGAATCTGATTTTATACCAATTTATTAGGAACCAGAACTAGAAAAAAAAGAACTAAGAATACTGACATAAAAAGATAAAGGGAAATTAATCAGAAATATCAAAATTTCATGAGTCTGAGGCCACAACTTTGGACTGCTGTAACAAGCAAGAGTGCTCGAGAAAGCCAGTTCTTAATTACAGCTGGTAGGTGATTGGTGGGTGAAGAAGAAGGGGTGAAAGCCAGTGATCCAACAGAGAGTAGTTGAGCAGTTGAGCCTCTGAAAGGACCTCTGGAGCAGAAACAAACCACAGTTACACAAAAGGCAGAAAATGACTGTGACACCATCATTTAGTCACTTGTTGCAATTTTTTTCCCTCTCTTTCTGTCAGGTGAGCCAATGCCCGTTAGTAAGAAGGTGGGCAGTTTGGTGATTGCCGGCTCCATTAACGCTCACGGTGCCCTTCTGGTGGAGGCCACTCACGTCGGTACTGAAACAACACTGTCACAAATAGTCAAACTGGTCGAAGAGGCACAGACCTCTAAGGTAAGCTATAAAAATCACAATTTTAAACTATAAGGTTACTCACATGTGTTTAATAATAATGACAATGATAATAAACTTTATTTATAAAGCACACTTAAAACCAAGCTTATACCAAGGTGCTTAACAAGTAACATAGAGAATAAAAGGAAGATAATAGAAATAGAAAGAGGACCAAAGCAAGTACTAGGTATGCAAGCAGATAACTGTCACTGATACATAGGAGAAGCAGCAGATACAGAACAAACAAGGAATTAAATGAGCATAAAAGTGCATAGTGTGACATGTTAACTAGAAGGAAAGGCAAAATTGAATAAGTGGGTCTTTAGTCGTGATTTAAACAGTGCAATAGAATCAGAGGCGTGGATAGCAAGAGGGAGGTTATTCCACAGTACCGGGGCAGCCAGAGCAAACGCACGGTCACCCCGAGACTTCAGCCGAGATCTAGGTTGTGTCAGAAGTAGTTGAGTAGCAGATCTAAGTGTTCTGGCAGGAATATGTGGCCTGAGAAGTTCACTAAGATAACTTGGCGCTAATTCATTAATAGTTTTGAACGTAAGGAGTAATATTTTAAATTGAATACGGTACTTTATGGGCAGCCAATGCAGGCTAGCTAGGACAGGAGTAATATGGCAAAATTTCCTGGTACCAGTCAGGAGGCGGGCCGCCGCATTTTGGACTGTTTTTATATGATCGGATGACACAAATGGAATATTTGCAGCAGTCCCTTAATAGCTTACAACAGACTTTCTTGAACAATAGTTCTCCAGCTTTCTGAAGCTCTTTAAACTGTTTCTTTGGACTCATTTTCAGTCCAGTCCTTGTACCTGAGCATTTTTAAAGGAAATTTTTAATTTATTATTTTTGTTTGTTAAGCCACTTAACACTCTACTATGAATCATTCAAGCAAGCTCCCAACTCAAGAGATGAACCAAGAAACCAAGGTCACGTTTCAGTTCGTATGGTTGTCTAACAGTGATAAATTTACTGTAATACGATTGGCTGTCATGTGGACAGCATGGCAAATGCATAAAGTTCCATAAAGAACCTGCTCTTGGAGGGCTGGAAGTCCCGCATGGCTGAAAAGTTCTTGTTGCTGAGTTTTTACAGTGTAGTTATGATAAAGGCAGTGCTTACTGCTACCGAGGTGTGCAGACACTGTACACTCAAAAGAGACTGTTCACAAAAAGAGACTGTTAACACTAAACTATGTTGTATTTTGCCCCTGGTTCTGCGTGAATAAGTAAGGATAAAAATTTTGGATTCCTTTGTCATTTAGACTTTTCCACATTTAGACGTTTTGCTTTGTCTTCCAGTTGCCCAATTAGCTCAGCTGATTAGACTGTGTTGCTGATAACGTCAAGGTCATGAGTTCAACCCCCATACTGGCCACTTGTTGCCTTTAAAGGTCACTCACTGTTCTTAATGTACAGGACACTCCTAATTTTGCTTTCCCTTCTCCTCCTCAGGCCCCCATCCAGCAGTTTGCAGATAGACTCAGTGGCTACTTCGTGCCCTTCATTGTTATCGTGTCCCTGTTAACACTGATAGTGTGGCTGGCCATTGGCTTTGTCAACTTCGACATTGTGAAGGAGAACTTCCCGGTAAGTGTGCATGCAGACGACTTGTGTGTGAATAAAAACAGCTGTAGCCTGATCACACCACTCTCCTCCTCAAAGGGTTACAACCAGAGCATCTCCAAGGCAGAGGTCATCGTCCGCTTCGCCTTCCAGGCGTCCATCACCGTTCTCTCCATCGCCTGCCCCTGCTCTCTGGGGCTGGCAACTCCGACGGCGGTCATGGTTGGCACGGGGGTCGGCGCTCAGAACGGCATCCTCATTAAAGGAGGCGAGCCGCTGGAGATGGCACATAAGGCGAGACCCTTACGATTCATTTAATGCTTTTTTTAAAAAACTGCCGAAACACTGAAGCGGGTAGAAAGAAAATAAAATATGTCTGTAATGAGCGAATAAATGAAAGAGAAAAGAGCTGGAACAACCACAGAAATGTAACATTTCACTTTAATATTTGCGTCGGCCTCTATTCTAATTAACTGGTGACACCATGTGGCATTGCTGCTTGATTACAGCCAGGGGCGATTCTAGCATCTGTTGGGGCCTGAGGCAGAAATGGGCCCCTCCAACCAGAGATCAAATATGTTATAAATAAAAAAAACAAGTAAATAAATACATTATAAAAATTGAATAAATAATAATATCAAGTGATCTTGAGAAGGAATGTTTAGAGTGCAGTGCTCAGAGTGTAATAAGGCACCTCTTAGAAACCCTTTTAAACCTGACACTGACCTCTATGTGTCTCAATCAGATCAGTGTGGTGATGTTTGATAAAACTGGCACTATTACAAACGGCGTGCCGCGGGTGACTCGAGTCCTGGTGTTGTGGGAAGTGGCCCGCATGCCCCTGAGGAAGATCCTGGCAGTGGTGGGTACCGCCGAGGCCAGCAGCGAGCACCCGCTAGGCATAGCAGTTGCCAAATACTGCAAACAGGTGAGAGGTCTATTTATGCCTGCCTTTTTGTTCAGGAGAAAACTTTACTGACTTTCTATCAACTTTCTGACAGGAGCTGGGCTCCGATGTCCTCGGGTGCTGCCAGGACTTCCAGGCCGTGCCCGGCTGTGGGATCAGCTGCCGGGTGTCCAGCGTGGAACATCTGCTGCTGCAGCCGAGCGAGGAGCGATTCCTGCTGCCGGGGGCTACTATTGAAGAAAGCAGCATGCTGCCTGCAGGAGAGTCCACCTCTGCAGGTCAGAAAAAAACTGTAACTGTAAACTTTATTCAAAGCAGAGGTGGCAAAAGTACAGATTTTTTTAGTTAAGTAGAAGTACAAATACCTGGGTTAAAAATACTCCAGTAAAAGTTGAAGTACTAAAGCAACTTTATTACTCAAGTAAAAGTATAAAAGTACAGGCTCTGAAATGTACTAAAAGTAAAAAGTAGTCTATTAACCACTTTTGTACAGAGGTAACTGAACCATGTGCTGTGTTAATATAATAATAAAATAACATTAGTACACAAGAATTCAAAAATTATTTGAATTTAAATTTAAATGAATATACTCAGTGTGATCTGTTATGTAGGTCCCCTGCAGTGAAAGTGAATGAAAAAAACAAAACTTTTTTCTGTTGCCTACATTGTAGAGGGTGCCTTTGGCTCCACACATAAACAGGAAAATGAGAACAGTCAAGGATTGCACCGGGATTTAGCAGGTGGGGAAACCTGAAATTGGTTGTAGTGGCTCAGTGTGGGGAATAGAATCACAACTCACAATAATTTCTAATATGAGCTTCAGTAGATTTTCTTAGTGTACAGGCTGTAATCAGCTGACCTGCTGCTCTTTGCAGATGCACATAACTGAATTCAACAAGATGTCAGCAGATGTTTCACAGCTATCATGGCTAATGTCCATCCTCTACACTGACACTATACTGTTTATACTGTCTTTATCTTACACAGTGTATAGTTGTTAGGTAATTTGTAATAACCAGCCACTTAAAGAAATGTTTCACCCCCGAGTATAAATTCATGGACCCCTTTTGAAAACGTAAGGAGTATAAAGTACAGATATATATTTTTAAATGTAGGGAGTAAAGTTGTCAGAAAAAAACTACTCAAGTACAGATACCAGAATATTCTATTGAAGTTTATAGTAGTGAAGCATTTGTCTATTAATTAAAATTAATAGACAGTGTTAAACCCCTCAGGAAACCACTGTGTAGGCCAGTTAGCTCAGATTGTCAGAGCGTGGTGCTAATAACGCCAAGGTCATGGGTTCAAGCCCCATACTGGCCACAGAATCACAACGAAGAGTTCTTTGTAGAGCCCAGACACTGGCTAGTTTTTTTGTTTTGTTTTTTCAAGCTATGCATGTTCAGTTGGCAGCGATGTTAACAAGTGACCTGCTGAAGTTCAAATTGAACATCAGAGTTTGGAAGTGATTAAGTGACTTTGAACGTGGCATGATTTTTGGTCTGAGTTTTTCAGATATTTCCCACATCACCATATTTAAGGTTTACAGAGAATGGTCTGAAAAGGGGAAATTATTCACTTAGTTAGACAAAGGCAACAGTAACTCAAATAATCACTCGTTACAACCAAGGTATGCAGAAGACCATCTCAAAAGCAGCAGATGACCACAAAGAGTACCATTCAGAAACTTGTTGAATCTATGCCATGAAGAATCACGGCAGTTCTGAAGGCAAAGAGCGTCCAACCTGGTGCTAGTGAGGTGTAACTGTAAGCAGTCATTGTTTTTAATCACATTCTTCTGTTTCCAGCTGAAGGGCTGTTTTATTCTGTCCTGATTGGAAACAGAGAGTGGATGAGGAGGAATGGCCACCACATAGGAGCAGATGTGGATGCTGCGATGTCGAGCCACGAAACCAAAGGGCAGACAGCCATACTGGTGGCTATAGATGGTGAGGGGAAATCAAGGTTTTCTTTGTGGCTTTGGTGCCACATTTAAACTTCATCTTATGCTGTTTGTGTGTGTGTGTGTGTGTGTGTGTGTGTGTGTGTGTGTGTGTGTGTGT